GAGGCCAGGGTGCTGAGGGGGTGAAAGGGGTGGGGGCCCGGTGCTGGGCGGAGGCGGGGTAGGCGGACCTGGCGGCCCTCACCTGGCTGCCTGCCTGGTTCCCATCTCCCGGGAGAGCGGGAGAGCGCCCTGCCCGGTTCTGGTTCCGGCCTGGGCTGGCGGTGAGGAGCGCCCGCCGCCTCTAGCCCCGGTTTGTGACCTTGGGTCAGGCCTGACCCTGCCAGTGTCCCCAGTTTTTAGATGAAGCTGCTGCACTAACTGATTCCTGGTGACCCTAGAATTTGAGCGGCCGCTCTTAGGGCATCTGTTTGAGTTGGGGAGCCCTTGTCTGCCTTATCTGTCCTCCGCAACTCTTTCAAGACCAGATCCCTGACCTCCTCATTTCCACATCCCCTCTGGGACCTTGTTTTCAACGACATTGACACTTGCTTTGACCTTCCTGACGATGACCTCTTACCCTTCCAGCAACTCCTACTGCATTTGTCTTTCAACATCATGGAGGCTCCAGCCCCTTGCCCTCTCTGCTTTCTTCCTGCCTGACAACCTGCTTCTTCCCTGGTCCACCCCCTCAGCCGTTTTCTTGCAAGAATCCTCCAGGCCCCGTCTGCTGTCTTTTCATTCCTCCCACTCCCAGTCAGCCCACTGACACCCGGGTGCTGAAGAGATCTTGACCAGCCACATTCCATTGAATAATGGAATGATCTCCAACCTCGACTGACGCCTCAACCCACACAGAAATCCTTCCACGTTCCCCAGCGCAGTTCTGTCTCCTTTCTGCTCAGTGGCTCTTTCAAACCTGTTCTCTCTCCCTAACGCCCCCACCTCTCCCTTCCCTCCTCCCACCCAGAAGGTAAACTTACTTCTCTCTTCAGAGAGAAAATAGAGGCCATCAGATGGAACGGTTCGCAGCTTTCTGCCATCAGCCCTACCAACTTGTCTACTTTTGTTTCCCTGCTGTCCCCTCTCCCTCCTGTTTTAATGCAGGGGATCCATCCTCTGATTCTGTCCAAGATCGACTGCTCCTCCATGACTTCCCAGAAGCCTGTTCTCTGTCACAGGCCACGCGAATGCACACCCTCGCCACAGTGCAGGACTTGGCTTCTGCTGTCCCCTCTGCTTAGAAGATTCTTCTCCAAACTCCCCAACCCTTCCATCCTTTCCTTCACCTAACGCTCACTTACCCTTCAGAACTCCATGGGAGAAGTCGTCTTTCTTCCACGATGGAATTAAGATAGCTTCAGAAGGAGTCCTAACTGGGCTGTGGTCTGCCAGGCACTGTTCTAGACTCTTGGAATATGCAGGTGAATAACTTAGTGACTATAATACTAAAAGATAATGTTAGTAGATATTCAAGAACCATATCAGAGGAAAGAATTAGGGTTCATTACCCAGCATTGTGGGAAAATATTTGCTATATGAGCATGACTCCAGCCCTCCTCAAGATGTTTACATTGGGTCGAGAAGACACCCAGAGAGTGACAGATCAGATTATTTTCAAGACAGTTGGAGCCAAGTGTGGAAGAGCAGGCATAGGCTGGACATGGTTATGTGCTAAGTGCTTGGCACCGACAGAAGGTCTTTGGGGCTGCGAAGGAGGTGATCATTGCAGCAGGGGTGTTCCTGCCCATCTCAGGAAGCGCCTCATCTGTGGGAGGTGAGGGCCTGGGCTGGGCAGACTTCCTGCTACGGTCACCTTATTGCCCACCCTGGACACTCAGGGAGGGATCTGAGGCCTCAAGAAGGTGCAGGAGGTGGCAGTTTGGGGAGCTGAGAAAGGTTTGCAACTCTGGGCTGGTGGCTTAGTTCCTGTATATGATTCTGTCAGAAATAGCTAAGCAATGCGCTTCAGCCCTGCAACACCCACCCAAGAAAGATTAAAGTGCATTCTTCATCAGCTATTTTAATATCACCTAAGAATTATGCAATATCTTTTAGAAAATCAAATTGGCTTCTCGCCCCCCTTTGAGTGAGTGTGTGTGTGCATGTGTGTGTGTGTGTGTGTGTGTGCGTGCCCACGCGGGCAGGCAGTGAAATGGTGCTGGTGCCTAGGTCTGTTTAATATCTGCAGTGTCTTTTGCTTCCTGGTGCCATGTAATGCCCAGTATGAAATGAGAGGGAGGCTGGAGGGAAGGAAAGGCAGCTGACCAGGCAGTTGCTGGGACTGCCTGCTCTTCAAGGAGAGAGCTGCCTCTGCTGCCTCCCTCTCCCATTTTTCTTTAAAGAACATGGCCGCAAAGGACGGGCCCTGATGTCACCTGCGAAGTGGGTCCTCAGTAACGTGGCCAGAGGTCACTGCCATGCCAGCTCCATGGAGACTCTCCCTCCTCCCCAGCCATGGTTCCCGCTCCTCCCCAGCTCTCTCCCCGAGCTCCAGCCAACTTGTTTCCCAAGGGGAAGCCTGGGCCCTCGGGTTTTTCATCTCTAGGGTCTTTGCTCATGCCTGCCCCACCCTGCTCCCTTCCTTGAAGTTAATCCAAATTCGCTGACCCCTTCAAGTCTCGTCTTAAAAGTCACCTCTTTCATGCAAGCTTTTCTGGAACACCTTCTCTCTCCTCACACCTCATGTGCCTTTTCGGGTCCCTTTTGGTCCAGTAGAACATGCCCAACCACAATGGCACCGTGCACCCTCACCATTAGAGTAGCTCCTCTCATCTTCATGCCTGGCACTTCATCTGTATCCGCCGATGGGACCATCATAGGTGCTGCAGGCATGGGCTCTGTGGGCAAGTTTGAATCTCGGCTGCACCACTTGCTAGCTGAGAACCTTGGGTAACTGGTTTAACTTCTATGGGCCTCAGTTTCCACATCTGTAGAATGGAGATGATAAGAATAGGATTGCTGTAACAATAGGTTTGCTGTGTGGAGATGATAAAAATAGGTGCTTGGCAAATGGGAATTAAACTAATAATGATGGTGATGCCAACTCCACGGCTGGCTTTTTCCCTTGAGAGATCTAGCAAGCCACCAGTTGGTATCCCCCCAAGGATATCTGGTTGCCTGCAGGCTAAATGACCTCCCCCAGGGCTGGGCTGAAGGCAGGAGCTTATGTGCTTTTCACCTTTGCAGTCCCTGGCAAAATGAAACCTTTTCTGGGTGACACACAGTCCATAATTGTGCTCCAGGAACAATCCTGTTGATGTGGCTAGAGCCATCCGCCCCTATACTCAATGTCCCCAGGCTCGCAGGCCTTATCAGTTATTGTTTTCAGCATTTCTTCCTCTCCTTTGCCTTCCTGCTAAGAGGAGCCACTCGACCTTCATCCCTGTTTCACTTCTGCGTCTGAGCAAAAAGAGGCCGGTGATGCGTTGCTAGAACTGTGTCTGAGATGAGAGCGTTGTGGCAGCTGCCTGGATGCTTGGTCATTTGGTTGTGTTCTCAGTGTTTTGGGTAGGTACGGCCCTTTGCTCAGCGACCCGCAGGTAAACAGGAGAACTGCCAAGGGGTAGGGGTGCCACCTTTGGGGTCAGACACACCTGGGTTAAGTTCTGGCTCCAGCAGTTTGCAGGGCAAAGCACCTAACCTCTGCCCAGCTCTATTTCCTCATCAGTAAGCTGGGGCTGATGGTCTGTGCCTCCTTGGGACAATTCCAAGTGGATTCAATCAGATAATCCAATGCTTAGCCTTATGCTGGTCCTCAGTAGGTTGTAGTTTTGTTTTTACTTCTGTAACTTGAAGCATGATTGTACTCTGATCATCCATTCATTCACTCCCCAAATATTTATTTAATGCCCATCTCCCTGTGCCTAGTTTCCTTACCTGCAGAATGAGGAAAATAACAGTACTTACCCAGCTGGGGGATGTGAGGACGTAATGAGTAGATATGGGTAAAGTGCTCAGAAACTGTGCAAGGTTTAAAACAAGCGTGATGCAAATGTCACCCACCCTTATCGTTACTGCTGGTTTGTCCTTGGCACTGTGCTACTTAGATTCTAGGGATAAAGAGATGGACAAATTGGAATGAGCCTTAATGTGTAGATCTTTCCGGCTCCTTCCGCCTTATCTTCTCCATGGGGAAAAAGCCAACCAACGTTTCATCACTGTCTATGTAAGATGAATGGATGGGTCTGAGAGGGTAGCTCTTAAGCACCTGCCAACTTGCTGGCTGTTGCCCTAGAGGCTGGCATAGGAGGCCATGCATGCTCCCTACTATGCTCTCACCCTTCATCAAGTCTGTAGGCCTCTTGGTTTTGTTTCAGCACCATCCAAAACTCGCGCAATGATTCGTCAGATGGAGAGAACCATGTCTGTCCTGCCTAAGTCATAGCTGTGAAGGTCAGTGTCTGTGAAAATGCTGTGTGACCTTCAAAATGCCACACAGACAAGAGGTCTAGACAGGGGTCTGGTGGGGTGCAAAGAGCACTGGGTGGAGTCGGTGACCACAGGTTAAGCCCTGGCCCGGTCACTTGGTATCTATGTGGATCTTTTTGGGGTCACTTCTTGCTGTGCCCTGGTTTCTCAACTGTCAGATGGGTGGGGTTGTAGTGAGGAGTATATAGGAGCAGAATGCAAGTTTAAGGTAAACCCAGGCCCCTTCAAATGCCACCTCCTTGTGGAGGTGAATTCACTTTTCCTACCTCTGAGCTCAAAGGCATTTATTGTACAATCCATAGAGCAATGCTCATCACTCTACCCAGGGTTAGATTGGCCTCCCTGGACACCAATAATGGGACGGAGAAGTGCATTGCTGGGGGACAGCCAGGAGACACACCAGCTGGGAAGTGAGCAAGGCAAGACTCGGGGGAGAGGGAGAAGCTGACCCATAGAGGAAGAAGCTAGCCCACAGAGGGAGAAGCTGACCCACACAGGGCAGTTG